AAAATAGAATCAAACGCACAATCAAGAAAATCCAAATGTCGTATAATTTTGTTGTATTCTGTTTTTTCTAATCATTAAATGTAATTAACATTTTCTTTTCATAGTTTCACTTCTTCAAACAAAATTTGTTATATATGATAAGGAAGAAAAATACTATTATTTTGTATACAACAGGAAATCTTGAACATTCATTAAAATAATATTCAAACATAAAAGACATTTTTATTTATTCATCGATGTTTTACGCAACAAAAAAAAGTAATTTTGTTATTAAATATCGTATAATTATTTTTATTTTTTGTTACAGATCAACTCAAATAGAACTGAAAGAATATTTAGTTGTGTGATACTTCTTCTTTTTCATTATGTATTTTCTTGAATTGTTGTCATCTCTGTCGATGCTTTTATGTAGTATTTTTGGTATTATCTGTGCCATGACTTTTATTGTTATCGTTACTTCTCATCGTCAATTTCATACATTAACGATCATGCTTGCTTTTAATTCAGCGGTTGCTGGTATTATTGTTAATGTTACTTGTGGTTGTCAAGCAATCTATCAGTTGACAAGTGATGGAAATGATAAATTATGTTCATTTCGAGGTTTTCTTCTGCATGCTGCTGCTGGTCTCTTGTATCAAACACTTTGTGTTCAAGCACTTCATCGTCTTTTTGTAGTTGTGTTTGCAACACGACGTTATCTCCGATCAATAAAAGTCATGACATCTATTACGATCATTCAATGGTTACTCTCGATCACATTTGGCATTCCTGCATTAGTGATTGGACGAATCGTATATCAATCGGGTAGTCGCATTTGTCAGGTAGGTTTCTTTAATAAAGATTTCAAATGATGATCTCTGCAAATTCTTATTTTAGGCATCATTGACCGATCTAACTATATTTTTATATTTGGCAATGTTTATCTATTTCTGTCCACTTACTATCATTGCTCTAATCTATATTCGAATTGTTCATTTTACAAAACAACATTCTTTTACAACAAATATTCAACATAGTCCAGCTGATCAACATCGACAACGTCGTGAGCTTCGTTTTATTCGTCGTCTTCTTATCACTGTCGGTGTTATATTTTTTATGAGTTTTCCATATTTAATTTTCTTTCTTCGAGCTCAATTTTTTCC